AGGAACAGGACCCAAGCCATGATCACTGAAGCTTTTCGATTCTGGCCAAATTCCTGAGAACGCAGATATACTCAACATCTATTAGTTGTAGCAATTGTAGTAATAAACATTGGATTATTTACCCAGCAACTAAGATTATTACCACTATCGATGACACCAACAATTACATCAGATTTAACTTTTATTGGCAAGTGATTGTATTGTTGAATTGAGTCTACTTTCAGAAACTTCCACGAGTGTGTTGTTTGAACCTTGTTTATCTTACTCTGGAACACAGATACAACCGATTCCTCTTCTACAGGATAGGTAAATAAGACAGTTAATATACTTTGAACACAAGCCTCGGAACCAATTTTCTGATTAAAGAAAGCAGGTTAGGGGAAACCTGCCAGCCGCTGGGCTTGATCAGCTGTTAACATAGCAGAAAATCCTCTAAAGCTTTTGGTGTAATGGTGATGGATCACATCCTGTGCACCTTCATAACTGAAAATCACTAGCAATTTTTCATCAGAAATAATGGAATAGTATCTCATTATTTTCAAACTTGTCGTCCAAATTAAGAAAGAGAGAGAAGTACATGCCTTCCAATTACTGAAGCAAGCATATGATGGTTATCCTTGATCACGGACTCTGAGCTTGGGTGAGCATGATTCCCCATGTAAACTATGTAATGCTGCATGGTTCAAGAATTTCTTGACATCAGTTCCTGAGTCTAAGCATGAAGAACGTCATAATCCATTATCCCTCTCTCTCTACCAGTAGCACCTTGAGGGTACAATCCTCCATTTTTTGCTTATGAAGTCAAAGTCTGTGAATCAAGATTAGTCTTGATTCCCATACTTCCATTCTGCACCTTCATGACTCTTGCTATATCGCATTAATTTGAAGGTCGGATATGGTTTTTACAGGGATGTAGACTGGTTGGTCCATGAAGTGCAGATGTTACTAATTTAGCGCTAATATATTCCTGTTTGTTCTCATCTTTGCTATATTAAAATTCAACATGACTTTTCATGCTCAAAATCATGGAATATTTGAACTTGTAAGCCTTCTGTTTTGGGACATAGGTGAAGTTATAACTCAATGGATACTGCCACAAAATCATGGCTTGGTGGGAAGTTCATATTAACTCGTGGTGTCAAGACAAAAGATGTGCAAAAATCCTACATCTCATTGTTCTCTACTCGTCGAAATCAGTTTTTCAAGGGAACATACAACTATTCATAGACGTAAGAATGAAATGTCAAGAATATTTACCTTTGCATCAGTGCTGATTGCATGTATGTATCCGAATCTCAGGATTAGGAAAAGAGCGAAAAGTTTGTGTATCTTCATCTTGTCAGCTCAAAAACTCAATAAAAAGATTGAAAGCAAAAACTAGCTGTTCATATGTTGTGCAGAGCTTTTAATTTGGAGGCAAAAAGTAGATGGGGACTATGTTCAGTGTTCATTATAGACACACACCTTAGGGTCTTTTCTCAACTGATTCTGATTTAGTAAAATCAGACTTTTCACAATAACTCATGTGTTTTTTGTTTATTGTTAAAAAAAGGTGATTTTAATAAATGCATAGGTGATCTTTGAAAAAGTTAAAAAGCTGATTTTTGACAAAAGATGACCCTTATTTGGTACATAGATGAATTTTTGTGCTAATTAAATAATTTTTTAATGCAGTTAATTACTTTTTTTATGAAGATTAAATGGTGAATGAGAAAAACAAGAACCACATAAATGAATCTGAGAGTGAGAATAAAAAGAAAACAGAAGGACCATAACAAGTTATCTGATTTTTAGATACTTTAGTAATTATGCTGAAATTTGAAGAGTAATTTTGGCCTATATGAAAAATAGGCTAAAATCAGAATTCAAAAACAAGTCAACAGTCAACACCAGCTTCTTCTGATTTCCAGTTTTTTTTCCGACCCACAAATCTAAAATTAATTTTTTAAAATCAGTTGAGAACACAATAAAATAATTTTTTGAAAATCAAAAGCTAAAGTCAGATTTCCAAAATTAGTTGAGAACAAGGCCTTTATCTCATTCATCCAAAAAAAAAAAAAAAAAAAAAAAAACAAAGAGCAAGAATTTCTCTTGACTCAGTCAAGTTGACTAACTAACTATTTAGAATTTTGTAAAGCCAAGACTTCCCTAGAATTAACTTGATCGTTTTTTTTTTTAAAGGAAAGTTGAATAGAATTTAGAATGGACGGCTGCTAATCTAACCAATGATTGTAGCTAGCCCACGTCCTTTGGTGTATTTAATTAATTTCCAATGTACGACTGGAAAAATAATTCCAATTCAAGCTCATATCCATATTCTTTTTAACGTGGGTCTTCCGGCCCGACCGCCTGTGTTCGTCTGAAATGAATTAAATTAAGTAAATAAAAAACTGTAATTAAACACAATTAATTAATTCTTTGATGTAAGAGTTTTGTGACAAGCTAACGGTCTATATATGCTTGACTTTTTGGATCTTGCCTGTTGCTTGTAATAATTATTATCAAAATTTAATGGTTGACTTTGGGATTAGTTGCTTTTAATGTGCCTCGTTTGAATTGCCATTTTTCTCCAAAAAAAAAAAATAATTTTTACGTTTTCGATTAACCTGTTTTCTAGTCTTTTTTTTTGTTTCCATCTCACATACATCAAATCATTACAATACATTTTTTCTACAAAAATTTCGAAAAGTAACAATCTAAACCGGCTTAAGTTGTAACTTGGAAGCTATAACCATACCTGCTGGAATTTTGGTTATAATATTAAATACCAATTATTTTGGGAGCTGTGGTTGTGTTGTCTAATTCTACGACATTATTTAATATAGTACGAGCACCAGAGGGTCAAAAATAATGAACTAAAATTGTGATGTTTTAAAAAAGTATTAGAACTGAAAAATGAATCAAACTATTTGGTACTCGAATCGAACTCGGCTTAGCAAGAGTTCGTTCGAGTTTGGTTCGTCAACTAGTTAAGTCAAGATTGAATCGCGTCTTATGTTCGATAACATTCACACTCGATAATAAAAAAAACTCGTTCAACTTCGATTCAATAAAATAAATAAGTCAAACTTGAACAAAATTTCAAACTCGTTAAAATAATCAAACAAGTTTCAACACTGGGGGGTTACTCGTTTACATGCACCCCAAGAAAATAACAGTTATTATGTGCGTTTGAGGTCCAAAAAGGTGTGATTTGGAATGTCGTTAATCCAAACGGACCCTGTGTTTCTGCTTCTTTTACAGTATCCATTCCATGACATCTTTCTGCTGTAGTTCGAAAATTCCCAACAATTCTTTGTAGAAGGGACATTTGGTCTTTCTTTTCCCCCTTTTTGGAACCATGATATTTTGTAACGTACAAAAATAGAATCCATGACAAGTGACATATAAGTTCTACCATGCATTTCAACATTAAGAAGATAAGAGTTAAAAGTGCCACTCGAAAGTATATGCATTACACGCTATAGGTGTTATATTTTTGTGATGCTTAATCAAATAATCATTCTATCGTAATTAGTCGGTAAGAAAAAAAATTAAAAACTGTTTAAAATGTTGTATGTTTGTTAGTATTTATTTTCGTTCAATGAAACATATAAAATGCTTTTGGAAGATTTTTACGAATCTGATGGAAGGTATATGTATCTTGGAGCCCTTATAAGGAAGTAAATACACATCAAGGGACTATATTGAAAATGAAAAATTTGTTTGCTTAAAATCAAACATAAAAAAAACCTCTTTCTTAAGGAATTCTTTTCCTTTTCCTTACAAGTTTCCGGGAACCAAATAGGACCTTCTTGTTTCAATATTGAAACATGATTGACATTAATTAGAGTCATTTTTATAATTTGGTCACAAATGTAATTAAGCATGTTTCAATATTCTACTTTTGAAGCATTTACATTTTTTTGAGTGAGAAAGTGTTTTGCAGTTTCAAAAATAGAGGTTACAATTCTGTTTGAAAACTCTTCTTGTAATATTAAAATAAAGCAATTAATTATGAAGGCATAAAATAGCAAAAACAAAAGTAAATACACATACACGCCCACCGTGGGGCTCGAACCCACGACCACAAGGTTAAGAGCCTTGCGCTCTACCAACTGAGCTAGACGGGCTTTTGATAGCTAGGTAACTTATATTTTATTAAATTCAGAGACCTAAGATGAGAAATTTGACTCAAGAATATAAGTATAAAAATATACGTGTATAACTGGTTAACAGATAATGTGAATACAAATGAAAATATGAAGCTAAAAATACTAATATACTACCTGATATACTTATCATTTTTAAGTACTATGCTACGTAGGCTAATGCCAATTTAATTATGAGACATCAATATTACGTTACAATCTCTTTTTTTACAAATTTTTTTTTCTATCATGGAAGAGATGGGATTTAAGAAGTGATAAGGGGCAATGGGAAAAATGAATATAATTTAGGATCTCTAGTTTTTGGAGTCTCAACGTTAGCCACTAATTATACATTACAATCTTTATATGAACATATATGAAATAAATCACCGGATATATTCCGCCTCTTATTATCTGCAATTAAGTATAAAATTGCCTTTTTTTATCATACAAAAAAAAAAGGTTTAAAATTGTTCAAAATTCAATTACTATTTGTAGAGTGTAATAGCAGAAACGTATTTGATATGCTTAGTCTAATTACAATTATTTTTTTAAATGTTAACAAACGTGCATAAAAAGGAGTTTTGTGAATTGAAAGATGAAGAGGTACTATATATATGAGTATACTACAACTTTTTAATAACTAGATTCGTTGGAAAATAATGCTAATTTGCACTAAGAATTAGTCCAGAGCCTAATGCTAACTGCCCAATAAAGATTAGCACAATATATAACACATTGTATCCTATCCACGCAACTCCTACATTTCTAGTAAACATTAGTGTAACAAAATACTGCACTGAAGAACGGTAGAAGAAGAAACCAAAAAAGGGTTTTCTTCTTTTTATTAAAAAAAGAGTCAATATCCTCAATATGGTAATAACACAAACTTAATTCTTGAGGTCGTAATTTTTAGCATTTCCATGTGGGGTAAATGCTCAAAAGCGTAGCACCACATCATGATGCTGCTAAGAAGTATCCATAATTTTGTACAACACTTAATTATTTACTTTTTTTTTAAATGCTAATCATACTTCTATAGTAGATAAAAATCTCTCAATATTGCTCCCAAAAAAAAAAAAGCTTCTATGGCAGACAGAACCACAACACGCATCAAGAATGTTTTGCTCAGAGCTGATCAAGAGTTCGTGCATGCAGAGCTTAGCTTTCTCCTACTCAGATTTGATATCACTTTGGCTCCTGAGGCTATCTCGCGTCTGAAAAAGATTCAACAGGGTACATTTGGAGACGGGATCAAATATATAATCAGCATATTGGGATAAACTAAGGAGGAAAATATAGTTAGTGTCGAAAAGAAATTAACGTTTACAAGGTACAACTTTCTATTTCTTTTGGATTCTGATGTTTACCACTTGAGATTTTACAGTGTTTGGTAAAAAAATGTTTACAGATATTATGTTTTGATGGATATCAAGATGCATTGCACGGTCAGATTTTAAAGCTGAACAAGGACGAAACTGATGATCCTACGGTATTGTACTGGAAAATCAAGAAGCAAGGAAAACAAAAGAGCAGTCCTTATTGGTATATGGGATTACTGAGCTTCAGACAATATATACTGGATTAGAATTCTCAATATTTGACACCTTAATCATATCAAACACTGTCGATCGAGGATGTTTAATTTCTCGTTGTTGCTAAATTATTTTGTGCCATGCAGATTAATTGATTGATCAAACAATTTGTTCATCGTGTGGAGATGAACACATGCTCATGTTGCTTTGAATATAGCCATGCAGTCATCTGCAAAACTGTCTACTCCAAAAGTAAAAGATAATGTAATTTTACCTTTTCAAAGACATTTTTCTGGTATCGATATCCCTGAAAAAAAAAACACATGAATATGAAAGTTCTGTCAATGACGAAAGTTCGATGAGGAAGTATTTGCTAAATTCACGTTTAATTATTTGAAAACATAAGAGTCACAAAAATGATAAGAACAAGAAGTTCATTGGCTGAACATATAGTTCATTGCTGACCTTGTCGGTTCCATATATGTAGTCACAGTAAGTGAAAACAGATGCAAAGTTGCTCTGACTTTTGCCCCCAACGTAATGATGGTAATCATGGTAAACTGCACCTCCATAAAATGGAATAAGCTTGGAGGGGCTCCAAGGAAATTCGTACCTGCACATATGGATAATTGTGCAAAGAAAGCAAAACATGTTAGTCGTTGAGTTTAGGTTGCTTAACTATTCCAGTATTTTGATGAATTGGCAACAGAAAAAGGAGAATGAGAAATCACCCGCTATGAGTCTCAATGGCTTCGAGCTGCCTTAGTATAAACCAAAGCCAAAAGGTGAGCATGTGACCGGGGACCATGAGAGGACCAAGAAATGAAGCAAGTCCAAGGACAATAATCTCTGCCCAATGAGCATAAGGTGCTGCAAAACCAATAGGAGCCGTATACTCATGGTGCACCCTGTGGATTTTGTTATAGCCCCATGGCGAATGCATTAGTCTATGGAGCCAATAATTTGCATAGTCCTCGACTACTACATACACCACCAGTTGCCAGAATACTTCTGTCCCAGATGGCAACGGCAAGCTTGTTCGGATCCCAATCCACTGCAAAGATTAGGGTGAAAAGTTCCTCAGTTCTAGTAGGGAATAACTAATTTTAGGGAGTAGTGTAACTTCAGTAAGTTAGGAAAACGTCTCTCTTCCTCTTCTGATCATAAAAATCGAAGGAAGTTTGGTGGGATTTCGCTAAGCTATGAAAATCAATAAAGGTAAGCAGACAAAATGATAATAAGCATACCGTACTAATGCATTTGGCTGCCTTCGGATTCAAGCATATGATTTTTCGCCTTTTGTAGTTATTTTTTTTGGATGAATATCATAATTTCATTGCATAAGGTCTGCATTAATGACATAAAAATATAATAAAACATGCAGCAATCACATTACGAATCAGCTCATCAACATACATTAAGTTAATTTTCAAGAATCCCATTTGGCAATCATTTGTACCAAATTGGATTTAAATCCGATACTTCGTTTCTTGAAACATTTTCCCACCAGAATGAGATAATATGTTAACTCTCTAACTAGTTAATTGATTCTATAAAATACTCGGAATTGAAACTTACTCAAAGACACGTCCATTTCCAAATAAAGGACCAGCTATGCAAACTCAAGAATTGAGAACGGAAAAGACAAACAACAAATCCTATTAAAGTAACTAGGGGAACTAGCCAAGCTTGTACCTTAATGACGGGGTAAGAAAGGACTTGCAGGGGGCCAACAGCATAGACAAAAGTCCACATAACTTTTTTGTAGCATTCCATCATGTCAGAGAATGAGTTTTTGAATTTTGGCTGAAGCTTGTACTTGTCAATCTTTTTGGACCCCAGGAGCTCAAGAATGACAAAGGGGATCGGAAACAAGGTGTAAAAGATAAACAAGAAAAGGGTGTTGTGACAATAGAGGATATAATCTGATTTTTGAGCCGAGTATTTGAACCATAATGTTTCTGCAAATGTTAGATTTCTTCCAAGAGAAATTTCAGCTTCCTGAAGCGTATGGTATGGCAACATTTTGCTTAATTCGTGGCTTCGATATTATGGTTTCTTTTTCTCTCCCTCTCCCTGTACAAATTTAGATAGAGAGAGAAGGGAAAAAGCAAGGAAGAAGGAAGAAGGAAAATGCAGGTAGAGTTTGAATAAAAATGGCCGAAAAGGAAGAGAGGCGGGGGTGGATAGAGTTATCAATGCTGAGAATGATGTTTGCTTTAGGAGGGAATGGTCTAGCGAAATAGAAGGAGCCTCCTAGTGTTGACTATCGTAAATTTTTCTGCATGAACGAGAACGGATATAGGCCGGAAATTGCACAGATGCGGAAGGGAATTATAATAATTAATATTCAGATTCTTCTATTCCAATTTTCTAAATTTTTTTTCTTGCAAATTGCACTACTATCGTTACAATTGAGAATTAAAGTTTTCACTCAATACGTGCTAGATTTTGAATTACTAATAAGTGATGTGTGAAGCAAAGGAATAAATAGTAATATAGAGAGATTAAAATAAGAAGTAAAATAGAGGATCTTAAACACTTTTTTCTATAGGGAAAATACCCAAAAAAAAAAAAAAAGGGCACAATCCCACTTTCTAGTGCAAATAAACACTCACTACTAATTTTAAGTTCATCAATTTTCATCTCATGTGTTTGGAAGTTAGAAAAATGTTATGAACTTATGTTTAGTTGTTTGACCCATTCATAACTTAGTTGGTTGAACTTGGAGAAGCAATACCAAACACAAGTATATCTTGCTTTATGTGGTTTTTACCATGCAAAAAATCTAGATTCATACAATGAAATAGAAAGGAAGATGCTTAAAATATATATATATTTTTATAAATTTCTATAGTGAAAATTTTGATAGAAACTCAAAAAATATCAACGGCCAACCACAATATGTTTTTGTATCGTAATTTGCGTTCACTTTCTGTGCAATTGTGACAAAGAATTTTTTAAAGTATATCTAACCATCACTCATATATATGTATGTTAGTGGGAAATTCTACAGCGTAGCATCCTACATTGTGGTCAGTGATGCGCTAAAATTGCAGTTATATATAGATGTTATTTTTAATTACAAATTGTATAATGAAAAAAAATGGCAATGAAGCGATACCAAAACATTGATTATGTGAATAGTTTGGTTTTTCCTCACAATCTTGTAACATGAGTTTGAATTGTAAAACACAAGATAATAGGCATTTGAACTTGTTTTTACATTTTTTTAGGTGGGCAATTTAACAGAAGAGAGCAATATTGAAAAACACAGGGGGAGCAATTCTTATGAAGCTTTCAAAGATTTGGTAGTTTTCTTTACAATTTTGTAATTTTTCAAGAGTGGATAGGGGGCAATTGCCCACTCTCAACTCAATGTGATGAAAAGAATAGTCCCACAAATTGAGGATGATTGAGTCCTATCCACATTATTCTGGGAAAGATTTACATTTGCTATTGCAGATTCAAGAAGTCGCCTTAAAAGTTTCTAACATATATAGGATTCATTTCAATTGTCTGCATCGGGTTGTCTTTCTGGCAAAGGGCCTAGAAATTCTGGTAGAGCCTTGCATTTGCATGAATCGAATGTCCTGCTCAACGTAGGGAACTTGGACCGCAGATGATAGGGTGCAATTTTATCATTTATTTTATTATTAATTTCTCCTATTACCTGATCCGATGTGAATTAATTATTAGATTCTACTCACTTTTCGTAATTTGTATTTATTTCAGGGAGTAGAATGAAAATGTCACAACTAATGCTAATTTGACAGCCATCGGGAAAAAGAATTCAAAAAGAAGACACTCAGGGACATTTTTGGAACAAAAGAGACGCGAGGCCTTTTTAGTCATTTTGGCCGAAGTCTTCCTGGAAGGGGAGAGCCGCCGCAAAGGATATCAGTAAAAGGGGGCAGCCGCAAAACAGGAGGGAGGCATTAGAGTAGGTTTTTAGATAGGAAATAAAGTACTCTCTAGGAATTGCTTTTTGTTGACAGGGAGGACCGCTCTAGGAATTGCTTTTGGTTGACTTTTCTTTCGTTGGCTTTTGCTTAGCTTTAACTCTCGTATGTCAATTAGGCACAATTGAATGATTCCCTGTAGCTTTTCTCTTGGACGTTGGCTTTTCGTCCTTTGTGGTAGGGCTGGAAACGAGTCGAGCCGAGTCGAGCTTTGAGCTAATCGAGTCGAGCCTTAGCTAAATTTTATCAAACTCGAACTCGACGAGCTGACAATTTTCGAGCTCGAGCTCGAGCTCGAAAAAAATAAAAAAAAATTTTTATTTTTAAAAAAAATAAATAAAATAGTATTTTTTCTGAATAAATAATAAAATATTAATGATATATCCGTAATTTCACTATGAAAATAAAAAATAAAAAATATATATATATATAATATACGTAATTTTATTATTAAATAAAAATAAAAATAAAAAATATATATATATATTCAAGCTCGCGAACCGGCTCGCGAGCTAACGAGCTTAATATTATGAGCTCGAGTTTGACTCGAGCTGGCTCGAGCTCGACTCGAGCTCGATTAATGTCGAGCTCGACTCGAGCTTGACTCGAGCCGCTCGCGAGCGGCTCGATTCGTTTGCAGCCCTACTTTGTGGTTGCCACAAGATGGCCGCAGCTTTTGCGTCAGTTTTGTATGGGTTGTTCTCATCAACAATGAGCTAAATCCCTTTATCTAGTCAAGGGACAACGGATGCTTTGGGTCATCTAAAATTGTGAGATCGATTTAAACTTAAATTACAACCATATTGCACCAAAGAAGAAAACTGAAGATAAAGCACATTGCAGGAAACACAAATAAACTCCGAATTAATTGCCATTTTTCCAGCAGATGAATGGTATTCCTATTTGTGGACTGGGCATCCAGAAACCACTGTCACAACATGAGCAAATGTATTCTTCCAGAGGTTTCTTCCAATGGGATGCAGCTACGAGTTAAGAAAAAAAAAAAAAAACTCAAAAATACATGGCAGGGTACGTGTAAAGCTGCGTTTGGACTTACCATGTCAGTATTAAGCTGGTCTGTTGCTACAGCAATTTGCGGTGCCGAAAATACATCAGCCTGCAACATCTACAATTTCAAGTCCAATAATGAACGCTGAAAATATGAAATACGACTTTCTGTTTGTTGTGTCCTGGGACAGATTTTAAGCTGGTAGTTTCAATTCTGAAAACAGCATAGCAGCTTTCATTTCTGCTCCGTCCATTCGGCAATAAGATGAGGATTTACTTGTTTTGCTTTGACCTTTCCTTTTTTTTTTTTTTTTTCTTTTGTTACGGGTTTCCTACTATGCCATTTCCACAGAAAGATAGATCAATGCAGGACTACTATGCTCGTGCGATTTGCTTTTGCAAATAACAGTTTTCAACACCAAGAAGTTAATTGGTGACATCAGTTTTGCATACATATCCTTCAAAGTTAAATCCCTCAAGAGCCTCCCCCGGTTTGACCGCTCCAACCATGAACCGGCCTTCTTTCCGAATTGATTTGTAATATAAAACTGTTTTGGTAAAAAATCAGCCAAAACCATATAAAAAACAGATTAAACTAGTGACCCGATTGAAGTAGTTGACTCAGTTCTCAAACTTTTCTTTCTTCTTTTTCCCAAATATAATTTGAGTTACCTAAATTGTAACACTTTCATTTATTACGTCACCCATTTAGCGTAAATATCAATATCACTCGCTTTCCTAAATTATCTCTAAATCAAAATGTTTTTATCCCTATAATCTCATTAATTTAGCATTAATGATTCCAACTTGTATTAATTTGTTTAAATTTAGTTTTTTTAAGTAGTTTTGGAGAATGGACGTATTTTAACCATGAATTTACATTTTTATATATAATTATTAGGTGTATATTTGATTGCAAGTCCAATATTTTTGGAACATTTTTTATGATTGGCCAAATATAACCAAGAACTTAATTTCAATATTTCTGAAACTTATAAAAATATAAAATAATTATAACATCATGCTGACGTCAGCAGATTTTTGAGACCGATTCGATCAGCTGATCCCCGACTCAATAGTTTAGCCGAGTCGCTATCCGGTCCGATTTTAACAACATTGGTTTTCACTTAATAAGGGATAAATATAGCGTTAAGGAAAATGTATCTAATACACCACTTGATTGATTGCAGAATTTCCAAAGTTCTTACATGTTCCCTTTATTCCTTTCGTAAGGTTTCTAATAAAAAATTTGAGTAATTCCATAGAGGACAATGACATTTGAAAATGGGATGGTTATAGAATTGCTCATTTCTATAAAGAAAGCACGCTAAGTGCAATGGGACTCCTTACTCTATCGATCCCATTGCTCCATGTTAATGCTCCAAAAGTAAAAATTCCACTGCTGGTCTTTGAAGGTGTAAAATCAATCCTGAAAGTCAACTTCTCCCCTGTATTTGTAAACCTTAATGTTGGTGGTATGACTGAAACATTTACACCTGTGGGTTGTTCTAATTTTGAGACATAAACTGTTGGTCCATTACCAACATAGGTAACTGTTCTATACACTGATATGTTGCCCTTCATGTTGGAGACTCCAATTGAAGGATAATTGAAGTTGACGGAAGGCTTTGGAGGGTTATTGCAGTATATAGTCTCGCTGGTTAAGTTCTTCAGCTGTGCAGAGGTTGCGCCATTGCTGCAGAGGAAATCAATGACGTCTTTGAGATCGAAATCATAAACTAGCCCAGGGTCAATTGCTGCAACTGGATTTATGTGCCCAGAACCGTAATCAAAAGGCGTAGCCCGACTACCATCAGGATGTCTTCTGATGTAATTCCCGGAGTCATCTAGTATTGTTGCTGTTTTAGAGAAAAGGAAAAGCATTAGACTGTGTGAACTACAATAGAACCAGTAAGGGATTTTTTCGGTTTGAAATTTTGTAGACCTGTTGTCATTATTGCAGATTTTATAGCTGCAGGGCTCCAAGAAGGGTGGCTAGCCTTTACAATTGCTGCCACTGCAGACACATGTGGACAAGACATGGAAGTCCCGGAG